AAATATTTGTGTATTATATAAAATTAATCTTTAAATAGGTATATAGTATTCCCTGGCTGTACCACAGCTTTTCAAGTGGGGGATATTGTAACTATTTAACCTTTCCATATTTTTAGTTTTAGGCATAGATAGGGTCTATGGGTTTGCTTAGCAGACAGCTGGGCACATATTCCAGAATATTCTTTGAGGGAATCAAACCACCTGTCAGGGCCCTGTTGTTTGAGTGGCGGTGTTTTTCTAAAAAAGGATGTTTTTCCCAAATACAAGTGACATGTAGACAGTGTTATAAAGTTGGTCAAACTGTTTCTGAAGATAAGGTAACAAGTTTGAATATGCCTTGTGAGGGAGTCAGCTGGGGCCTCGCCCGGCCAGAAGTGGCAGCTTCCCAAGTTGAGGAGGCCTCAGGAAGCCTTTGCGGAGGAAGTCTTCCCTAGCAGTGCTCTGCAGACTGGGGGTGACAGAGAATGCTGCCAGGGAGCTATCCCGAGAGGATGGCATGATGGAGAACTGATGTGGTAAGACCCCCCACCCCGTCCTGCGTGGATCAGTAGGGTTCTGATATTTGAGAAAGGTGCTCTAAGTCAAGAATCACAAAGTGATCCATAAATGCATGGTATAGTTTATCTTAACTTATAAAGTATATTTATTAAATGATACTTTGAAAGCAGGCATTGAATCTCCCTTCCCCCAGAATGGTTTGTTCCTTCTTGAATAAAGCATGTTCATCATGTGTTAATTACAGATTCCATTTTTCATCCCTTTGGAAAGGAACCTAAAGCCCTGTGCATAATTTCAAGTGTAAGCCCATTTGGTTTTGAAGGAGCTCACCTCTTCCAACTCTCCTAGTTTAGCTTTCATGGAGACAATTGATTTTCACTTTTAGGAAATGTTGAAGCGACATAATTTTAACAATGTGTATATGGGCTTAGCTAGGTTGGGTGACATTGTCACAGAACAACAGCTCCTCCTGTGATGAGAGCTGACGTCTTCCTGGCATTCTGCAGCGTGATAGTAGCCTCCAGGATTCCTTGTGCCATGGACCTTTGTCTGTAGGCTTCAGAGAATGGCACACCTTGGTTAGTCTGGGTAGTTTGCAATGTATTATCCTGAACTTGACAGTATACAAAACAGAAAGGAGCCTGGTGTGGTGACACGTGCCTTTAATCCTAGCACTCAGGAAGCAGAGGCAGGAGGATCTCTTCGAGTTCTCAAGGCCAGCCTGGTGTACAAAGTGAGTCCAGGATAGCCAGGGCTACACAGAAAAACCCTACCTCAAAAAACAAAACAAAACAAAAAAACAACAAAATAGTCAACAACAAAACAAAACAAAAATAATAAAAGAGGGTGAGGGAGAGAAAAAGGGTAATCAGATGAGAAGTGGTTGGGGTTGGAGGATGATAAAGATTATTCCAGAAGTGGAGGGAGACTTATCTGCTATAGAAGGGTCCAGGAAAGAACTGGAGGGTCATTGAGATGGGTCAGTGGGTAAAGGTGCTTGTTAAGTTTAATGACACAGGAACCTATATGCTGGTTGTCTTCTGACCTCCTCATGTGTACTGTGGTATGCCCTTCCCCCAAATAAATAAATGCCAGGAAAGGGGAAGACTTTTTAAAAGCTGTCTTATCATTAGAATGAGATTTTGTTGACTTTAAAGAAAATGCCCTTATAAGAAGGGAGAGGCAGTCGGGTACCTGAGAGGTCGAGGAAGCTGCTGTCACTGGATATTAAGACGTTACAACACGTGGGACCTCTCCTCTGAACCTTAGCCTGCTATAACTTTGTATGTACAGCCCTCTTCTGAAATAGAAAACATTTCTAGTAATATTTTAGGCTCTTGGAGGTTACTGCTTACAGCAGTTGTGTTGCAGGTGTGTCTTACTGGCAACCTGAGGGATGAATGTATCCTCAGGATAGCCGTGAATGTGGCCCAGCATGGTTTATAGATGACATCATGTCGCGGTGCTGAAGGGTTGGACACCCTTGTTAGAGAAGAATAAAGTGCAAAGCCATTGATTTCATTTTCGCAGCGGTTTTCAAATGGGAGTGATCGTGTCTCCCCAGGGGATGTTTGGTAAAGTCTGAAGGCATTTTGCTTGTCACAGCTAGGGAGTAGAGGCCAGAAATGTCACTCAACACTGTCACTGATCAAGACAGCTCAGTGAAGATCAATAATCTCCCCCAATTATCTAGCCCAGATTGAGAAACCCCAAGTTCTCTGGTCACTTTAAGGAATTTAGTCTCTTGGTTCTCTATGAGTGCTAGCCAAACAGGACTTTTTTCCTGTGTTCTGAAAAGGTGGTAACAAAGCCATATCATCCGGAGGGCTACTGAGTTCTGGTTTGGACTGTATCCTGAACCTCTAGTGAGTGGCGCCAACAATCTGAGCCCTGGCAGTGTTTGTTCCTCCTAAGCAGGGTTCCTGCCCCTCCTGTGCATTGTTTCCCAGCCTTGAAAAGTGAATGAAATTGGAGACAGGTTTTACAATATGTGAGAATTGGATGATGGGCAGATTGGCAACCAGAGCAAACTACTTTTTATTTTGATCCACTCTTATGAGTGCTTTTGTCTCTCTCTCTCTCTCTCTCTCTCTCTCTCTCTCTCTCTCTCTCTGTGTGTGTGTGTGTGATATTTTTTATTTGGAGAGATTATTTTTGAGATCCTTAGTAACGGAGCATCCATTTTGCTGAGCTTCCATTTTGGGCTCAAAGGAAGGCAGGTGTGTAATCATCTTCATCGCTGACAGGTAGCGGAGTGCCCTCTTCTCAAGGACACTCAGAGTCCTGTATTGAGTTTGAGCTAAGTCTTTGGTTGGCTTCTTGTTAGGAAATACAGAACCCAGAAATCATGGTGCTTTTGACAAATTCAGAAATGTATGAGGAAGCACAAAATATGTAAACCGTTTGCTTAAAAATGTTTGTCTTAATATGTTATTGGGATAATATTTAATAGTTTGCAATCTGTGACCTGGCTTATATGAAGAAGACTTGATTTTTTTTTTAAAAAATGTCATTTTTTATTTGCTTATTTTTTACAACAGTTTCTGAAAGGCATGGATGCAGTGTGGTGTGGTGGCCTCATGATTCTTGACACTTGTCTTTCTTTTTTCTGACATCTTGAGCTGATGGCTTTCGTTCATCTTTATGTGTGTATGGTGACAGCTCCAACTATAGACAACAGGATCTACTTAGGGACAGAAGCCTAGGATTGAAGTATTTGAAACTGGACCTGCTATGAATTTTTATTGACTAGATATAGAAAAAAAAGGCCAATACCAAGGATTCTTGAAAGCTAAATATACTTTTAATAAGGGAAGGAAGGGCAAGCAAAAATTGGGAGAGGAGAGCCAAGAACCCAAGACCTTTACAGCCCTAGCTAGAACTTAGATGCCATCTTCTGTAGGTGGGTTTGTACATTAGAACAGTAAAAGAACTGTATTGGCTGTCTTGTTTTAAGTGCAAAATTTTCTGTGACCTTGGGACCTATTTAAGACAAAAAAATTAACTGTAACCCATAGGTATATAAACTATTTTTCCCCTAATCCATGACTTGGTCTTCAGAGTGTTGATTCCTGTAAGAATTGTTGACTCAGTTCTCCAGAGCTGTTAGCTCTTAGAAGTGGCACACCGTAGACATCCTTGCAGAGGGTGCAAACAGATGAGTTGGGGAGGCCAGTCAGATACTGCTAGGTAGCTGTCATTAGCATTGGAGTTCTTTGGCTTGGTCCAGGAACCCTGCTTTGAAAACCAGGGATAGTGGGCTGCTGGGGAAGTGGGTCTGTTTGCCAGGACCTACCTTATCGTGAGGTACAGAGCAAGAGACATCTTGTACTTTTCCTAGAGTTAATCAGCCTCTGCACTGCAGCCAGCCAGAGGTTAGCTTTGGCGTCTGGCTCCTTGAGGTACATGACCATGACTGTACTGAGATGGTTTTCAAGATGGACATTTGCTTACTGCTTGTATATGTGCATTTGTTGTGGCTCCAGTTCCCAATGGGAAGAAAGGAAAATACATCCAGTGATTCTTGCCCAGTTCCACTTGACTTAGCACTAACCTGGAAGCCGTGAATGGTTTCTGAGGAAGTTGAATGTGCTATTTCCAGTACAGGGCTGACAATCTTGGGCAGAAACGAATTTAGTGCTTGACTTTGCTTCCTGTGGTAACTTTAATCAACTTGATCATTTAGAAGTCTTAACAGGAGAGAAAATTTCAATCTCCTTAATTTTGTGTTTAGAAGTGTTCCATACCTACCTATTGTATGAAATTCAAGTTACTTTTATAATTCTTTGTAACTAAAATTGTTTTCCTGGAATGCATACTAATGATGTAAACTTTATAATTTGTTATCCTTAAAATTGAGTTACTCACCAAAGAGTCTAAACTTTCAAGACACTCACAACATTATCTAATTAAGTTTAGCAAGCCCAAATAGAAAAATTCCATAGATTCATCTTTGGAGATTGTGTTAAAATGTAGCATTTTGAGATTCTTTTGGGATAAAGTTTCTTTTAGGGATATAGCTTAAGATTCTCTTTGGGGTATTCTGAACATTTTGACAGGAACTTGCTTTTTTATTTTTTAAAAAAGATTTATGTATTTGTGTGTACATGTGTGTGAATATATGCACAAGTGTCTGTGCTGGTGACTTCTATCAATTTCCAGCTATCCCTTTGAGGGTCTTCCCCTAAACCAAGGGTTTACATTTTCCTCAGTAGGCTGGAAGCCAGCAAGCCCTAGAGATCCTTCTGTCTGGGGTTACAGTGTTGGGATCTGAACTCTGGTCCTCATGTTAGTGTAGCAGGGGCTCTTCATTTTGGAGCGATCTCTCTGGCGCCCATAACTTATTTTTATATTGTCTATAGTTATACCCGTGAATGAGATGCCTAGTACATTTGTGCTTTTATTAATCTGTGTACATTGTGGTGTGTGTGTGTGTATTGTATGTGTATGGTGTATGTGTATGGTTGTGTATGCACACAAAACAATGTTTTCCTGTCTTGCAGAATTAAATCTGAGAGAATCTGACATCAGAGTGTGTGATGAATCTTCATGTAAATATGGAGGTGTCTGCAAAGAAGATGGAGATGGTTTGAAATGCGCATGCCAGTTTCAGGTGAGAAAACCAAAATTAACTTAATTTTACCCCCACCCCTATTTTATAATCTGACGTTCCTTGAATAAAAAGCACATAGCACCTTGAAGGAATTTAACGAACAGCCCACTGAGTCTTTCTTGCCGGGTGAAGTCCTCTTATTTGTGCTTTCTGTTTTCTGTGGTTCATTTCAGAAATTGAAGAGGATCAATTGACCATGATAGGTGTGCACATGTTTGGGAAAATGTTAAATAGTCAAGTGTCAGCTTTGCAGTGGTAGGGAAAGGGGAGGCACCCCGGGAGAGATTCTTAGTTAACAGGTTGACATTATTTTTCCTTTTTTTTTTTTTCTGTTAACCTGGCTTTTCTCCTCCCCTACTGTACCTCTTTAGAACCAGGATGAGTTAGAGCCTCAGGAAGAATCGGGGTCAGAGCAGGGTTGGAAATTAGAGTCACAACCCAAGAGTATGGTGCCTTAAAATTAGATTTATAACCCAAAAGTATGATGCCTTAGCATTCCCATTTGGGTTTTAGTTGTGCTGCTATTATCTGAAAAGCAAGAGAGGTGGAGAGTGTTACTCTCAATTGCTCCTGTTTGTTTGTTTTTTATTATTAAATTATAATCTAACTGTAGATGGCCTCCCAGAACTGGACGAGAATTATAGAAAGAGCTTGTCTGGTTTTCACTTACAGTCTTGCTGCCATTTTGCATAATGAGGAGAGGAAGAGGTTCAGAAACCGGGTATATGATTTTTAGCTGAGTTAGTGTTTCTGGTAACCCAGTGACCTCAGGCAAATCTATGTTCTTAAGAATTATTTCCTCACCAGTGTCCCATCACATTTCATACTTAGAAGATGTCGTAAGAACACGGAGGGTAAGAACACTTGTGTTTGAAACTTCTTTGAATACTATGAACCATCACGATCTTTATTTCCGTTAAAAGGAATAGAGAATCTAATCAGAGAAACGGGCACAGCTAGCTAGGTGCATTGCTGCTGACTATCCACAGGGACCGGTGGTTAGGTACACTGTTATTGACCACCCAGTCAGGTTCTAGGGTCAAAGGGACTTTTCATTCATTTATACAGAGCAGTATTTCTGTGAGACAGGCTCCACAATAGCCACTTTCTTCTGAGCTTCGTTAGCCTGCTTTGGCCCTTGCTGCCCATTGGCTGGGGGATATCAGTTCCTTCTGTGCCTGCCTTTCCAAAGGCCTCTTTCATTTCTATGGAGCTGATTTTATATTCTGTTTTCCTATGTTTTTTTTTTAAGCCCCTGAGATTTTTTTTTTTAGATTATTTTTAAAAAAGTAGCCTTTTCAATGTCCTTCAACAACTAAAGAAAAATATCTTTCCATGATCTGTCTTAAATCATTTGGTTCTTAATCCGTGCAAAGCAGGAAGAGAAGTGTAAGCGAGATCAGAAGGTGCTTTTCTAGGTTTGCTGTGTGCAGTGTCTTAGGCTGGATGCTAAGGATGGTTAAAGCCAGGTTCGTTGCCTTGCAGGGTCAAACTGCCGAAAGGCTTGCACCAGGGTTTGTTCCTTCTGCTGAGGAATCTCTCCCTTGATTGCTCTGCTGCCTTTCTATGATATTATGGATATGTTCATAAAACCTAAATTATTGGCAGCTTAAAAACAATGACTTGATATGTGCGTTAGGCCTAGCTGTCTGCTGTGTAAATCTTAACAGTGATAATCAAATTGTCTGAGAGATGGCTTATAATTCTGCGTGCTTTCAGTGCTAATAGAAGCTTCTGCAGCGTGATTTAGGTTCGTTTTCACAGAAAGTAGAATTGTGGGTAACTGCAAGTTTTGTTAGTTGGTTCATAAAAGCCATTATCTTGCTAGTTATATAAACAAAGCCACTCACTAATTATATGCATAGAGAAATTATTAATGCCTCATCTTTCCCTTAAAACTTAGTGTCTCTGGCTTTCCCCTCATTTTCTTTCTTCCTTGTTGGATTTAGAGTTCTGTAGCCTGTCTTCCTGCGTTTGTATCTGTTCTTACTAGCTCCCACGGCCTCTTACTCTTACTAGGTCTTTGTGTTGGAGTTTTCCACAGAAATAGAAGCAACAGGGGTACATGCACATACATCCACATGACTGTGTGAGAGCTATGGAGAAAGAGATTAATGAGGAACTAGCTTATTTGATTGCAGAGGGTGAGAAGTTCCAGTCTGTCAAGGGCTAAAGACTCAGGAAACGGAGTGGTGTAAGTCCCTGTTGGAAGCTAACGGCTGAGGACCAGTATCTCAGTACAGTCAGAGGGAAGTTTTCCCACCACCATTTTGTTCTATTTGGTTCCTCAACAAATTGGATAATGTGTATCACCCTAGGGAGAGCAGCCTGCTTTGCGTGGTTCACTGACTCCACTGCTAATTTCATTTGGAAATGCCCTCATGGATTCATCCAGAAATAACTTTTAATCTGGATACCCAAAGGCCTAGTGAAGTTGCCACATGAAATTAACCATCACAGCTATGTTACTCCTACTTTTCCTTGCTGAGACAAAACAGCCACATGGGGGAAAGGCTGATTTTATTTTGCTGTACATTATCAGGAGTTCTGTCCTTCATGGTGTGACAGAGTAGAGCAGTTCCCATCATGGTGTCCAGGAAATAGAGGAAGAGCCAGTGCTCATGGGCTGCTTCTTCCTGTCCTATTCTCTTCCGCCTTCTAGGTCTGTTGGGTGCTATTACCAATATTCAGGGGTGGCCCTTCTCCCTGACTCCTTCAGAGTCTCACCCATAAGTCACTTGGCGGGAATGAGCCAGGGTCCTTACATCCCTGCAACCTGGGATGTAACCTGTCTCAAAGACACGTCCAGACATCTGCTTTACTACGCCTCTAGGTACCTGTCAATCAATCAGTCAAGTTGACTATTAAGATGAACTATCCCAGGAACTTTATTTTCTTATTTTGTTGTGATCCAAACAGTTCCTGGCACATAGTGGGTATACAGCAAATGTGTCAAATAGCTGGCAATATCATCAGAATCCCAAGTAATGGAGATTCCTATCCCTCATCAAAGGTGGCCGACTAGAGGTTAGGGAGAGTGTCCAGGGTCAGTGGATGACACTGAATGTGGTAAAAACTGCCCAGATCTCTTCATTTGTCCATAAGCATATTGAGAGGCTCCCGAGAGAGACCCTAGAAGCAAAGAATGACAAGACAACAGATCTACTTCCTCATCTCAGGTTCACTCTGAGGTGTGTGCTTCTGGATGGTTGCAGGGCTGTAAGGACCCTCACTCACCATCACCAAGTGACTTATGGGTGAGACTCTAAATAATGTGTGCATGGTGTCTAAAGTACATCCCGGGAGCAACTGTGACTCTACTTGTACTCACTAGCTGTGCTCCTAGACAGAACTCAAGACTTAGAAATGAGAGTAGCTACAGCAGTGGCAGCTCGTGTTTACTAAGAATTTGCTGTGGCGGAACAGAAACACCTTATTTAGTCCTTGTAATGACATTATTTGGGAGGATCTGTGACACCTAGCGCTAGACAGAGGGGGAAAGTCATGCTGGTTTCACACAGGTGATGCGCCAGAGCCCTTGATTGACATTATCGTGGGCTTCATTGGTTGTTAGACTGACTACTTAAGCCCCAACACATTGAAAGCTGGTGCTCATTGCTTACTGGGCTATTGTTTTATAAACGTTAAGATTTCCAGTCCTATCAAACTCAAAACTCTTTCAGTCACCAATAACGTATGTTCCACTTCTTTATTACCTTTAAATGAAATTCACAATGTAGTCTACAAAACACAGAATTAAAGAAATGAATTGTACATAATTTTAATATAAAAGAAAAATAAAGGTCACTTATGATATACATATTTTATAACTTACATGCTCTAGAATTATTATTGTTATTGTTAGAATTATTATTATTGTCAGAAGACAATGCAGTACTCACGTTTATATCTACTTATAATGAAGCTGGATTAAAAATATTCATAAGCAGTTTCATATACAAAGCTCTCCAAATAAAAATTTAATTTTAATAAAAGTTTGTGTAAGATTTTGCTGATACTGGATATAGAGTAAAATCAACTTGGCTATAAAATATTTTGTTAGTTAGCGGTTGCTGAGCTGTGCTAATATGCCATATTCATACTTCAGACACTAAGACCAACCACTTAGAAAAGAAGATAATAGTAAAAGTACATCTTGTTGATTACAGAAAATTAACGATATAATATGAAAAATGTATTGACATTTTCTTCTAGAATTTATGCATATTTTCTAAATTAGACAATGAATGCAATGTAATTTCTTGCTATATTTTATTTATTTTTTTAAAAAATTGCATTTAAAATTTAAAAAAGGGCAGGCTGTACATGATGGCACATGCCTGTAATCCCTGCACTGAGTAGGTGAATTCAGTTTGGACTATAGTGAATCTCTTACACACTAATTCGCATTTTCAGTATACAACCCTTATTGCTAATGAAAGTCAACTACTTTTTTTTTTTAAAGGTTTATCTATGTTATGTATATGAGTACACTGCAGCTGTCTTCAGACACACCAGAAGAGGGCATCAGGTCCCATTACAGATGGTTGTGAGCCACCATGTGGTTGCTGGGAATTGAACTGAGGACCTCTGGGAGAGCAGTTAGCACTCTTAACTGCTAAGCCATCTCTTCAGTCTGAAAGTCAATTATTTTTATATATTAATTGTCTGTTTTAAATTTTTCTGCACTATTTTTATTTACATGAAGATAGCTTGTAGCATATTAAAATATTTCCCCCAAATTTTGAAACTTCATTTATGCTATTTTCTTTTCTTTCTTTTCTTTTCTTTTTCTAGACAGGGTTTCTCTGTGTAGCCCTGGCTGTCCTGGAACTCACTCTGTAAACCAGGTTGACCTCGAACTCAGAAATCCACCTGCCTCTGCCTCCCAAGTGCTGGGATTAAAGGTGTGCGCCACCACTTCCTGGCTTATGCTATTTTCAAAAACTATTTATTTTAAAAATGCTAAAATTATGTGCACGCATGTGTCACTGTGGGTATGTGCAGGTGCCTGTGAAATCCAGAAGATGTTGGTGTGCGTGGATTTACAGGTAGTTGAGAGCCGCCAAATGTGAGTGGCTGGAGTTACATGCAGTTGCGAGCTGCTCAGTGTGTGTGCTGAGAACTGAACTCTGGTCCTCCGCAAGAGCAGAACACACTCCTAACTGCTGATCCACCTCTCCTGCCCCCATTTGTGCTATTTTTTGATGTGTAGAAGTTCTAAAGTTCTTTAAGCGTGTAGAGCCAGTGTCATCTTTCAAGTCTCATGACTGTTTATCTTCATCTGCCACGTTCCTGTCTGTTCTTCAGTGCTCAGTTCGAACCCCACTTTCTCTGATGAGGTTTTCTTTAAACACCCTAGCTGGTAATACTGGAGATCAGTCATCATACTTTCTGTCTGATCGACTGATTTGGGACACGATTTAGCTTTGCAATTTTTTTCCCATTCTAACAGAATTATAAATAAGATCTCTGAGTACAGAGACTGTGTTGATTTCTTTGTATCTCCTCTGTTCCTTCCCCAGGAACTTTCCTACTAGAAGTATTGAGTAAATGAATTTTAATGATAACGTGACATCACCTAAGTAGCTCTTTATAAACATTGTCACGACTTTCCTCTTAATGTTTCTGTGGCTTTTCTTAGCAAATAAAGTAGATTGCACAGGGATGTCCAGTTTCATTCAAGGGTAGTTATTTTCATTATGAATGTGAGAAAAAGGCATGAGGAAGAGGCAGGTCTCCTTGGTTGAAGTAAAACACAGGGACAACCTGTTCCAGCAGTAGAAGAACGTCATAATATGTTGCTTTTGTGTTGAGGAGTGTGAGCTATGCCATTAATATTCATGCCTCGTTCTGAGAGTGTATTTTTGTTTTCTGCAGTGCCATACAAATTACATTCCTGTCTGTGGATCAAACGGGGACACTTATCAGAATGAGTGTTTTCTCAGGAGGGCTGCTTGCAAGCACCAGAAAGACATAACAGTGGTGGCACGTGGACCTTGCTACTCTGGTATGTATGGTGTTAGAAATGGCTCTGCCATGTATTCTAAAAAGAGAATTTAGCCAGAAGCATTTGGCTTACATTGCTGCAGAGATTGGTAGTGACTGAGAGGGCTTTATTCATATTTTATGTTACTGCTTCTTAACATGAGGTGATCTTTGTATTGACTATATGCCTATTGACTGTTTATGTGGGAACTTCATATATCCTTTGCTTGATACAATTTGGAGTTGGGAACTGGCATAAGATAGGTTCTATCTATCTATCTATCTATCTATCTATCTATCTATCTATCTATCTATCCATCCAAGATAGGTATCCATCCATCCATCCATCCATCCACCCATCCACCCACCCATCCATCCACCCACCCATCCATCCACCCACCCATCCATCCACCCACCCACCCACCCACCCACCCACCCATCCATCCATCCATCCATCCATCCATCCATCCATCCATCCATCCA